AATAAGAGTTTTTATGGATTGAAGCAGGCACCAAGGCAGTGGTACATGAAGTTTGACTCATTCATGAAAAGTCAAACATACATAAAGATCTATTCTGATCCATGTGTTTACTTCAAAAGATTTTATGAGAATAACTTTATTATATTATTGTTGTATGTAGATGACATGTTAATTGTAAGAAAAGACAAGGGGCTGATCGCAAAGTTGAAAGGAGATTTGTCCAAGTCATTTGATATAAAGGACTTGGGCCCATCACAATAAATTCTGGGTATGAAGATAGTTCGAGAGCGAACAAGCAGAAAGTTGTGGCTGTCTCAGGAGAAGTACATTGAACGTGTACTGGAACGCTTCAACAAGAAGAATGCTAAACCAATCAGCACACCTCTTACTAGTCATCTAAAGTTGAGCAAGAAGATGTGTCCTACAACAGTGAAGGAGAAAGGGAACATGGCTAGAGTTTCTTATTCTTCAGCAGTCGAAAGCTTGATATATGCAATGTATGCACCAGACCTTATATTGCTCATGCAGTTGGTGTTGTCAGCAGATTTTTTGAAAATCCAGGAAAAGAACATTGGGAAGCAGTCAAGTGGATATTGAGGTACCTGAGAGGTACCACAGGATATTGCTTGTGTTTTGGAGGATCTGATCCAATCTTGAAGGGTTACACAGATGCTGATATGGCAGGTGATCTTGATAATCGTAAATCTACGACATGATACCTGTTCACATTTTTAGGGGGAGCTATATCATGGCAGTCAAAGTTGCAGAAGTGTGTCACACTCTCTACAACTGAAGCAGAGTATATTGTCGCTACTTAAGTTGGCAAGGAAATGGTTTGGCTGAAACGGTTCCTTCGAGAGCTTGGATTGCATCAAAACAAGTATGTCATCTATTGTGACAGTCAAAGTGCAATAAACCTGAGCAAAAACACCATGTATCACGCAAGGACGAAGCATATCAACGTGAGATATCATTGGATTCGAGAAAGAATAGAGGATGGATCTATACAAGTGAGAATACTTCGGATATGCTGACTAAGGTGGTACCAAGAGACAAGTTCGAGTTATGCAAAGAACTTGTCGGCATGCACTCAAGCTAGAAGTCCGGTGTTACCTCCTTCAGGTGAATGAGTCTGGAGGGGGAGATTTGTGGGGTCCAGTCCCATAATGAAACAAAGAAAAAAGGGGATTGTGGGGTGGATCCCCATAATAAAAAAAGAAGAAAAAGATTGTGGGGTCCATCCCCATAATGAAGAAGAAAAATCTGCAAGATGCCAAAATTAGTAGCTGGCACCGAAACGCACTTTTTGACCAAAATTGGTTTTGATTACAACACTTTTTCCTATAAATAGAAGCTTTCAACTTCTCATTTTACACACCAATCTCAAAGGAAAAATATATTTGAGGGTTAGAAAGAAAGAGTGAGGTTTCACAGACAGGGTATAAGAAAATAGTCTATGAAAAAAATAGAGAGTGAGCGATATTGTAGTGAGGTGGGAATATCAAAATAGGGTTATTTCTTTTGAGTGTTGTAGTGATCTTTGGAGTATTTTTCTCGGACCTACAAAGTGTAAAATTCCTTACTATAGTGATATCAGTTGCTCGTCTCGGGGCCGTGATTTTTTTTCCTTATTCAAAAGGGTTTTTCACGTAAAAATCTTAGTGTCGTAGTCACTCTTTTATTCTTGTTAATTACGGTATCTCGATGCTACATTATTATTTCACTTTTATTACTGTAAATATTATTTATGTAAGGAATTTATTCCCAACACTATGTGTGTCATTTCAATTATCAGTTGTGATCAGATTGGAAGATTGAATTCTTCCTATCCAACAAATAAAAATTAAAAGGGAAAGGGGAAAACAATACACACAAATGAAGGAACAAGCTAAAAGAGACGCTTGGCATGTAAATGTTAAGCCAATTAAAACAATAACAAACTTAGTATTTTTTTATAAGTAAATCTGGAAAAGATAGTGTGTACGGAAATTTTAACGCTAAATGTCAAGATAATTAATACCAATAAAGAAAAAAAAGAAAAGAAAAGGAGATCTACTGATGCATCTGTCGCTGTACCTAATATGGACCAAATACCAATAGGTTATGGACCATCTCAAAAGGAATCTACACTTCCTCCATCCCGAGCCATAAGAGCAGTTCGTTTTAAACTCCTTGTTTTTTTAAAAAACATTGTTATAATGGATCGCAAAAGGTCAGAAATCTAAGTTGTTTCTTTATGCTAAAAAGGCTCTTATCTTATGTGAATTGTGCTCAATTTTATATGTGACAATTCCGCTAAAATATCTTTGTTAGTTTTAGGAAGGAACCGTTAGTGCGGGAAAATTTACGTTGACGTGTTTTTATTTATGAAAATCTAGCTAGTAAAATCATATATATTGATAGTATTAAAAAAAGTCATATATCTTTAATGAAATTTATTCAATTATAGTATGTTACCCTATTTACTGAAATATTATTATTTTAAAATAATAATTGTGTTTGAGTCGATTTGTGTGCACTCTGACTATTTCAGTGGATATTTAGTTATTTACTGCCTACACTGGCACAAATACCACTTGCCAAGTAACTTTGTCTATCAAAAGTTAGGCAAACTAGAAGAAGTCATTTTAACGTCTTTTGTCTCTACCGAAAGTTTGAAACTAAAACCCTAATCTCCCATGAATTTTCGGTGATCATTTGGAATATCAATTTATGTCACGTGATAAACATGAGAAAAAGTTTATAGCTCCTAAATATACTTCGTAGGTTTTATTTTTAAAAAAAATAATATCTAGATTTATACCTGAAAATCTTGTACAAGAGGATATTTTCAAAGTGATGACTAATAAAATGTGGACTAGAGGGTTCATTGAAATCTAATTCAATTGTCATATCGTTCCTTTTATCTTTGATCTTTTCTATATAGTCATGAGATATGTTTTGTATATATGTATATTCACTTTATCGAACTGCTGGTCCTTTCATAGTTTAGGACAAAATGCACATGTTCCAGTGGTCCTTTATCAACACATTATAGTTCAAGAGTAAAAAAAAAGAAAAAAAAAAGAAAAAAGAAAAAAGAAAAAAGTCATGATGTATGAAATATTTAGCGTTCACGTAGGGCATGAGAAATGATCTTATCTCAAAAGGGTGTAATGCAGATACTTTATTCTGATACAAAAATCAGTGGTTGATTCTATTGCTCGAACCTATGACGTGATACAAATAGTCTACCGTAAAATTAATTGACCATATGTGCGGTTGATTCTACTAAAAGTTTTAAATATTTTATTTGTTATAAGAAATTGCAAGGCCAAGATATAATTACATTTTATCTTTTCTGCGCTCTTCTAACTATCATTTGTGACCAAGTCAATGAAAATTAATAACGTCCTTCCACTAATGTAAATAATATGGTGTTTGGGTAAGCTTATAAGTTGAATAATTAGCTTATGAGCAGTTTTTATTTATCTACATATTTGACAAATATCAAAAGTGTTTATAAATTGAAATTAGCCAAAGCCATAAGGTATTAGTTCGACAATATTTATTTTATTATATACCTAACATTTTTGTGATTCCCTAAATACACTTGTCTATCTGTAGCTTCTTTCTCATTCGTCCTTTTCGTATTATTTTCAAATTTAATTTATGTGTTTTGCAAACAACTTTAATACTAGCATTTTTATCATTTTATAGAAAATTGGTTTTCATTATCTTTTATTACTCTTAATTTATTAAATTACTTTTAATACTTAAAAGTGTTTTTCTAACACTTGAAGCTTAATACCCAAGGGCTCGTTTGATATGAGAGATAATAGATAATTAATTTTGAGATGAGTTTATTCTATATTTGATTGGGATAAAATCGTGGCATAATTAATTAATCCCCTGATTATAGTATTTTTTTTTCCTATGAAAGAAAGGGGAGAAATGGAATAACTAATCCCGAGATAGTTAATTATGAAATAACTTGTTTCTCAACCAAACGACTCCTAAGGTCTCTAACTAACCACATCAAATCCTTTGGTGTACTTCATAAACAAGGCCAATTAATACACATCAAATCACACATTTTCCTTGTAAAAATACTCTTTATTCACCGTATCCTCCACAATAAGTGATAATTTTACCTTTTTATTTTGGTCCAAAATAAGTGTCCATTTACATAATCAAGAAAAAATTAATTTTATTTTTTTAAAATTTGCCCTTATTTACATATTTTAATGTGTCAAGATAATAATTAATTAAGGTTAATTTAGTAAATAATTTTTTTTTTCTAGAAATTTGTATTTCTTTAATGAGTGTGCAAAAAGTAATGATAATTTATTATGGACAGGAGGGAGTGTTTATTAATGTTTCGGTGACGACTGACCGAACTGTGGCTGCGCCGACATGGATCAACTAGCCTAAGGTTTAGGAAATAAATATTTGTCACAGAAACTTTAGTCCCACATATCTTAATCCTTAAACTTCATACTCCTATACCAAGATATAACAATTCTCACCAATCATCTCCCTTTATCTACTCACTCCAATCCTATAACAATCTTTTGCGAACATTTATTAGTCCCAAGACTCTCAACCACCAAAAAGAAAGCAACCAATTTTGGCTTTTCAAACATGACAAAGGTTACATGTGTTAAAAGTGTGCTATCTTAAGGTTTTGAATGAAGAAAAACTCACATTTTTGCTTCTTGGTGGGATTTAAACCCGAGCCCTCAGAGTTCTAACTCACGTTTTTTACCACTAGGTTAATGACGTTGGGTGCCGGCGACCTTAATGTAACTATATTGCAAAAGTTCAGCAACGAACATCCTCTTTCATATCTCAGTTTCCAAACGTAGGAAAAGAGATACTCCCTCTATCCCATTTCATGTGAATGGATTCAGAGTATGAGGTCACAACACATACGGACACCAATTCTTTAATATATTTAAAAGCTATGGGAAAATGGAACAACAAAATGTGTTTAAAATAAACTAGGAGAGGAGAAGTACCTGAGTATGTTTAGGTTCAGAAGTATCAAGATAAGCACAAACACGCATATCTCCAGTATACTGAACACTAGGCATGAAATCCCCAACAAGGACATTAGCTTTCTCTACAATCTCCATATCAAACAGATGCGAAAACGACTTGACATCAAGAACCGCCACCACATTCGGATTAACACCAAGAAAAAACGGAAAACAAGGAGGCACATTAGTTCTAAAAACTGTGCTCTTGTGCTTTTCTATTCTCTTGGTAAAAAAAGTGTTAGGTCCCTGGAACCAATTATAATCCAATCTATCAGATATTGGTCCTAACAACGGCCAACCGTAGCCGCCGGGAATTGTACGGACGGGAAGAGAAGCTGGCGGCGGAGTTAGCGACGGTGAGGATGTACGGCCAGTACTACCAGGATTAATAGGAGTAGATCCGCTCATCATTTTCGCCATTATTGTGGACATGCCTTTTTGTTTAATGTACAGAAATTCAATGAAGAATGCTGAATTATTAAGTTGTTTACTATATATGTCTTTGCCTTGGCTTGGCTAGTTAACGTCAACTTAGAAATATCATGCCACTGTATTTATCATGTGCCACTTGTTTTAATGTACCCTTCATTATTACTACTCCTTCCTTTGATTTTATGTGTCAAAGTTTGAGAGTACAAGGGTTACAGTACTAATTAGTATTCGGTATAAATTTAGATATTGATTTTTAAAATTTTTAAAATAAATTTATATATTTTATAATTATTAAAAATATATTATAAGTCGTGATAATTAATAATTCAAAAAGAAGAATTTTATCAATTCAGTTGATTGGCTACCTAAAATTTTCACGTTGTTGATGAGGATTTAATTCTCCACCTTGTAATATCCTTCCCTCATTTCCCCAACCCCTCTCCTTTCCAAAACAAAAATTAATAATTCAAAAATTAAAAAATATTTAAGAAGAGCATGATAAAATAAAATCTCTTTGACTCGCCAAATAGTAATGTTATTATATAAATTGATACAGATGGAATATTACTTTCTTACCTTACTCACAGACAATACTATGAGTAAAAATATGTTTATTGATTAAAATCTTTTATTTGAAGACATGTTTGGATAGTCGTAATCTTTATGAGTATTGTTTGTTAAAACAAATAATCTTCCTGAGTAATAGAATGTCATACGTAAAATCATAAGTTTTAGGGTAGTTTTGATATATACAAAAATCTTTGGTTTTCTTAAACTCCATATAAACTCAAAAATTGAGTATAAAAAAAAGAAATTTTATCTCCTATGACAAAGGTATATACCTTATTTATTATAAACTAAAATTATTTTAAAATATTATTTTCTATAGGTACATTTTATATTTTATAGAAAAATAAATATTTATGGTATATACTACAATTAAGACATGAAATATGCTATTTATGATTTTTCTCTTTTTCTTTCAATTAATACATAATTCTCTCTCAGAATTTTTCTTCTTTCTCTCTCTTCTTTCTCTCTTTCTTTTGAGATAATACATTGCGTTTCACTCTTCAAATCTCATACATGGAAGACATTCTACTACATATTGGAGTTTCTCCCTTTTCCCTACCTTCTCTAGCTATTTTATGCCTTGAAATTTCCTCCAGATGAGATAATTTGTAACAAAGAGTTTCTTTTGTTGTTTGATTATTGCAAATGGCCTCTTACATATCTCTTTCTAATCAATGTGGTCTCTCTCTTTGTCACGACCCAATTTCACCTATAGGTCGTGATGTCGCCCAACATCACCGCTAGGCAAGCCAACTAGTGAATTAAACATATATTCCCTCTTTTAATAAATTTCTGAGTAATTAAACTTTCCTTACTTGCAAGATTTAAGAAAAATAGAAGGTCTAAATAAATAAAAATCAAAATAATAATTTCAAGACCAGAATTCTACTAGTGTATGTGCCAAAACATGGTGTAACAAGTGTATGAGCATCTAGTAAATTATACAAACTTCGGACCACTGTTTGAATATGAAATTGATAGAATACAAAAATGCAAAGGAGAGAGAGAGAGACTCTAGGGATGCAGAACGTGACACGACCCAAATTCACCTATAGGTCGTGATGGCGCGCAACATCCAACTAGGCAAGCCAACTAATAATTTAAACATATATTCATTTCTTTAAAAATTATCCTAGTAATAAAACTCGGAGTACTTGCAAAAATATTAAGACAATGTGAGAAATAAGATAAGTTAAAACCAAGTAAAATAATTAAATCCAAAAAAATTCTACTAGTGTGTGCCAAAACCTGGTGTCACAAGTGTATGAGCATCTAATAGATTATACAAAATTCTAAATACTGTCTGAAATAAAATAGACAGAATACAAATACAAGAAGAGGCACTAGTTGCTGCAATACGGCTCAGAAAGGGGCGGCTCACCACTAAGCCTCTGGATAACGTGGGTGCGCGCCGATGGGTCCTCCGATAGTACCTGTCTCAGCAAGCATAGTATGAGTACGTAAACAACGTCTACCCAGTAAGTATCAAGCCTAATCTCAAAGAAGAAGTGACGAGAAGTCGACTTTGACACTCACTATGGATCAATAATTTTACAATAGAAATATTTAAATTAATATGATTTATAGAATTTACAATAATTTTTCTTAACTAGCAGAAATAATTAAACTCCTTCAAATGCGATAATTTTCAATTTATTTAGCTTCACAAGCTGCAATTAAAATATCAAGATATCGTGTAATTATTATTATTAGGCACGATTTCTGCCGAGGTCGTACGACCCGATCCAGAGTGTCGTGTACACTGCCGAGGGACGAGCGACGCGATCCATAGATGCATCTATACTGCCGAGGCATTCGGCCCGCTCCACAAGAAAAGAGGACATTTTTTTATGTACCTCCGGAATGAGGATATATATATATATTATGAGACTAATGCAAGAGGGTGTACAATTTCTTTTAACAATTAATTAATTTATACAAAAATTCAAGTATATGTGATTTTAATCTTTTACTATTTTTTCTAACAATTCACAGTATAGTTCAAATACTTTAATTAAATAAAGGATACAATTAACACACGTAATTCATGATTTGAGTCCTAAATTACCCGGACTTTAGCATAAATAGTAGCTATGCACGGACTCTCGTCACTTCGTGTGTACGTAGCCCCCACAATTAGCAATAGTTATTAATTTAAATCACCTATGAGATACTTTCCCCCTTACAAGGTTAGGCAAGAGACTTATCTCGACTTGCTATAATTTAATCTACTAGTAGGCCTTTCCTCGATAATCCAACTCCGAATGGCTCGTATCTAGCCAAAATAATTCAATACAGTCACCAAAATTATAGGAATCAATTTCATAAGAAAATACTATATTTTTCAATAAAAATCCGAAATTAACTCAAAAATCCTCCGTGGGGATGATGTGGGGCTATAATTCTATAATTTCGTACATTATAGTGAGGAGGGATGAGTTTTTGCGACCGGAGGCAAGAACATCACGTGGAACCACTTTTGGAGGAGAAAATCATAGAGTTCTGCATCCCTTTATCTTTTCTTTGTAATTTGTTTATGCAAAATACTTGAAAAATTGTTACTACGAACATGAGTGGCTAAGCACTCTACGTTCTAGGGTTTTGGTTGATATGATTATTAACGTTTATTAATTACATCTTCGTTAATTCGGATTATCATCTTGTGGTTATTTCTTTAATTATAGTTTTCACTTGTAAATTGTTGTAGCTACCAATTCACCCTACTATCTATGTTATGCTTGGGAAATCCATGTATAGATTAGAGTAGAATTAGAGAGAGCTTGTTTCTGAACCCATGGCTCGGGGGAAGATTTCACGGTTAGGATAGGAATATACCTAACAGTATTGCTTAATTAAATACTGTTTATATTCGTTCATGATAGATTCAATACCATAGGAATATAGGATCGATATATTATGGGTATGCGAGTAGTATTGTGGGAACATGCTATTCATATAAACGATCCGGTTAATTAGCAACCATAGATAATCTGTATTAACGAGTGTGATTACTGAACTTAATAGGATTGATAAACCAACCACAACCCTGGAATTTTCATCTCCCCTGAAGTAAAATCTCGTCATACAAAATCGCATTCTTGATAAATTAGTTGTTAGTTGTTTAATTTTCGCAATAGTAGATTAATAAAAAAATATCACTCTTAAATAGCTTGGATAATTAATTGATTTTAGTTTGCTTAGTTAACGATCAATCTAAGTCTCTATGGGTTCGACATCTGACTTTCGACTCAATTTTTTACTTGACGACCACGTATACTTGCGTGTGTGTTTGGTCCCAACAGGTTTTTGGCGCCGTTGCCGGGGAACTTAGTTATTGATTGTTTAGTTAAGTTAAGCTTTTATTCATTATTTGTTCAAGTTTTAATTTTTTTAGTTTGCTTTATTTGTGATAACGCAGGCTCTTCTCTTGAATGCGGAGGAGTAGAAGCGCAAACAATCTCCTTCCTCTTGATCCTGAAATCGAACGAACACTTCATAGAGTGAGGAGGGAAGTTGAAGCTAGAACTAGAATTGAAAGAGAGTTGGACATCGTAGTTCAACCACAGCCAATAGAGATGGCAGGTAATGAAGAGCGTCCGGTGATAGAAGCTGCAAGTCCCAATCTGGCTCTCATGACTCAGGCGATTGTGAAGCCTGATATCACGTGTCACTTTGAACTCAAACAGTATATGGTACAACTGATTCAGTCCACAGAGAAATATGTGGGTCTATCTCATGAAGACCCCCAGAGGCACATTCAGAACTTCCTAGAAATTACAGATACTTAAAATTATCCGAACGTTTCCAAGGACTATGTCAGGCTGACACTCTTTCCCTTTTCACTGCTGGGGGAAGCTAAGGAATGGCTACAAAAAGAGCCCGCGAACTCAATCCACAATTGGGATGATCTAGCAAGGAAATTCTTAATCAAGTTTTTCCCCACAAAGAAGACAAAGTCACTAAGGAGCCAGATTCTTGGGTTTCAACAACGAGATGGTGAGACTCTTCGACAAGCTTGGGAAAGATACAAGAAGTTACTCAGAGACTGCCCACACCATTGTCAGACAGATGAGGTGTTGGGTCACACTTTCGTTGATGGGTTGGACGAGGCATCAAAGATGAATCTTGACTCAGCATGTGGGGGTAGTTGCATGGCAAGACCATATAGTGAGATCCAGATCCTGCTAAACAATTTTACTGCTAATGATAATAATTGGCAAGGAGATGGGGAACCACAAAGAGTACTTAAACAAAAGGCAGTAGGTTTGATCGAGCTTGATGAATTCTCAGTAATGAGGGCAGATATAGCGAGCTTAGCGAATCAGATGAATAAAATGACAATGCACCAAGCACAACAGATGCAACATGTGCAACAGATGTCTACTTGCTGCGAGTTATGTAGTGAAGGTCACACAAGTGACATATGTCCCATGAATCCTGAATCCATCTACTACGTGGGGCAACAAGCTAGAGGGCCGATGAATCAAAATGCTCAATATGGTAACACATGTAATCCGAACTGGAGGAATCATCCTAACTTCTCTTGGGCTGGAAATCAGAATATCAGGCCTCAGGCGAATTACAATGGTCCACCTCATCCCCCACAACAAGCAGATGAGAGTTTAACTGACATGATGAAAAAGCTCTTGATAGAGAATCAACAATTGCGCACAGAGTTCAGAAATCTAGAGAGGCAGTTTGGGCAAATGGCTAACAATCATAATACTAGACCTGTTGGAGCTCTCCCGAGTGATATTGAGCCTAATCCTAAGGCTCAAGTCAATGCGGTTACCTTGATAAATGGAAGAGAATTAGAAGAAGTTCCACAGAAACAGAAGTATACATCTAGTCCTGAAGGAGAATTAGTTCCTAAGCCAGTTGAGGATAATAAGAAAGAAAACAAAGGATCAGATCCAGAAATTGTGACGAGGCCACTGCCTTTGTTTCCACAATCATAATTTGCCTTTGGTGGAAATTTTGCAGGAAGTGCACAAGTATGCAAGGTATCTCAGAGATATTGTGGCAAACAAGCGAAGACATACAAAGTTTGAAACAATTGCACTTACTGAAGAGTGCAGTGCTAGAGTTCAGAGTAAACTTCCTCCTAAGTTGAAGGACCCTGGGTGTTTCACAATTCTTCTGTCTCTTGGAAAACAAGAAGTTGGTAGAGTCCTGTGTGATTTAGGGGCTAGTATAAATTTGATGCCATCTTCTTTGTTCAAGCAACTCGGATTCGGGGTGCTTAGACCTACTACAATCACTTTACAGTTAGCAGATAGGTCACTAGTTATGCCAGAAGGAATTATTGAGGATGTGTTAGTTCGAGTGGGAAAGTTTATTCTTCCTGCTGATTTTATTATTCTTGATTACGAGGCAGATGAGGAAGTACCCATTATTTTGGGGAGACCATTCTTAGCTACTGGTGGAGCGCTTATTGATGTTAGGGAAGGAAAGTTGAAGATGAGAGTTGGTGATGAGGAAATTACTTTTAATGTGTACAAGACACTTAAGCTCCATAAGCATTATGAGGACTTGTGCATGATTACTGCGGTAGAACTGAAGGGGATAGAGCAAAGTCCTTATGCAAATTATAGTGATTCGGATGAGACAAGTGAGTTGGAGGAGGTGGTGTTGCAAGCTGAGTGTGTAAGGATGATTGAGAAAATAGCCAGAGATGAAAGAGGAGATCTTCTGAGAGCATGTAAAAAGGCTAGACTTAATGGGAGAAAGAAGAAGAGAAAGCACCCAGCCTGAACAGAGTAGCAGTGTCGTGCCACGATGTTAAATTAGGCGCTTGTTGGGAGGCAACCCATCTGTACTGCTTTCTTTTATTTTTATTTTTATTTTTATTTTTTTATCTTATAATTGTTGTAAGGTTGTTTTTGTTTTGTAGGATTATAAGAATATGAAGAATAGCCATTGGAAGAACTAAGTGTGGGGGTGCCCACATAAAGGGTCATGCTTGGGGGAAGTCTGAGTACCCCGTGAGCCGCTATTGCTTCGGCCTTTAACCTTTCAGGGAATTTCTTGTCCACGCTTGTTATTGTTTTGCTTTATTTGTGCATTGAGGACACTGCACTCTTTTAAGTGTGGGGTGGGATAAGTCTCTAGATAATTAGTAGTAGGATGTAGAAAAATATTAACTTCTTATTTTTGTTTTCATAGTTGTGTAGTATTTTAGTAGCTAAAAAAAAAAGACTCTTCCCGACGATGGATTTCCTAGACAGTTTTCTTGAGGGATTTAAGTCTAAAGGAAAAGGAAAAAAGATTTTCTTCGTAGGTAGTGTAGTAATTTCCCTTTGATTTTTCTTTGTGCCGCGGTTCTTTTCCAAGGGTTTTGTTTGAACCGGGTGTAGGTAGTTTTATTTTTTTAGGAGAGGAGCCATGGTGATGTGAATTGAATTGAAACAATATCTCTTGACTTTGTTATGCCTTGAGAATAGTGAGTATTTTGATTGTGACGCTTAGACTCAGTTTTTACTCTTGTATAAGTACCTTAAATTGTATAATCTTAAATTTGCTTAATAGCTTTGACTAGAGTGTCTTGATGAGTCCAATATTGAGTGAGTTATGTTCCATGTGTGTGTGAGGTTTGTATGTTATTATGTGCACTACATTTGGTGTCTAGAACTTTCTCTGTGTGTTTACAAAGCGAAATAGTAGTTTTGTTCAGTCTTGGAAATGCTATAGGCGTTTCTTTGTTGAGCCAAATATATATATTTTACCCGCCTAATTGTTATGTATCGTAGTTAACCCCGTTGAGCCTGTAAACCTGTTTCTTTGGCAACCACATGATAAGCCTTTTTACCTGTCATGAGCACTTGAATTGTTATGAACTTTGTAAAAGTTAAAGTGTGGGGTGGTTGGTTTAGCTTTTGAGTGGAACTAATGAAATAAGGAGACAGGTGCACTGTTTTAAAAAAAACAAAGTAAGAGCCCCTTGAATTGAAAAAGAAAAAAAAATATAGTTGTATTGTTGTGAAAATATTTTGTGATAGTGGTGGCTCTTGATGCAACTGTGCTTAAAGAAGTATGGAGTTAATATAAATTAATGTGTAGGTGGGGTAATGGTTTGACATAAGTATGGGTTTAAATATTAAAGTATATGTATTAAAGTGCTTAGGAAGGTGTATTCACTCATATCCAAATGTATCCTACCCGACCCGCAGCCTACATTACAACCAATGAAAGTCCTACTTGATCCTTGATTGAATGAGCTCGATTAGTCGAGTATTACACTACGGGCAAGCCGATGGTGCATCTTTTGTAGCATATGAATGTTATTTCTGAGAGTGAGTGAATTCTTTCTAACTTGAGTTCCTAATTGTTCTTAAAACTTTATTGTGTGTGGAACTACTCTCTTTTGTTGTGTGAGGGTACTTGATTCATGAAGGAAAGGTAATGTCATTGTCCTCTATGTTAGAGTAAGTGAGTGAGTTGTGAAATAATGAATGGTACTTGTGAGTCAAATCTTGAGGTGAATATGTTACACCCTTGTGCTTAGTCTATTTTAAAGATTCTTGGTAAAATGAGTTAAGAAAATTGTTTAATATGTTGTGTCTATAAGTGTAGTTTGATTGCTCGAGGACGAACAATATTTAAATGTGGGATATTGATGTGGGGCTATAATTCCATAGTTTCGTACATTATAGTGAGAAGGGAGGAGTTTTTGTGACTGGAGGCAAGAACATCACGGGGAATCACTTTTGGAGGAGAAAATCATAGAGTTCTTCATCCCTTTATCTTTTCTTTATAATTTGTTTATGCAAAATACTTGGAAAATTGTTACTACGAACATGAGTGGCTAAGCACTCTACGTTCTAGGGTTGTGGTTGACATGATTATTAACGTTTATTAACTACATCTTCGTTAATTCAGATTATCATCTTGTGGTTATTTTTTTAATTCTAGTTTTCACTTGTGAATTGTTATAGCTACCAATTCACCCTACTATCTATGCTATGCTTGGGAAAGCCGTGTATAGATTAGAATAGAATTAGAGAGAGCTTGTTTCTGAACCCGTGGCTCGGGGGAGGATTTCATGGTTAGGATAGGAATATACCTAACAATCTTGCTTAATTAAATACCGTATTATATTCGTTCATGATAGATTCAATACCATAGGAATATAGGATTGATATATTGTGGGCAGGCGAGTAGTATTGTGGGAACATTCTATTCATATAAACGATCTGGTTAATTAGCAACCATAGATAATCTGGATTAACGAGTGTAATTACTGAACTTAATAGGATTGATAAACCAACCACAACCCTGGAATTTCCATCTCCTCTGAAGTAAAATCTCATCATACAAAATCGCATTCTTGATAAATTAGTTGTTAGTTGTTTAATTTCCGCAATAGTAGATTAATAGAAAAACTTCACTCTTAAATAGCTTGGACAAATAATTAATTTTAGTTTGCTTAGTTAACGATCAATCTAAGTCTCTGTGGGTTCGACATCCGACTTTCGAGTCACTTTATTACTTGACGACCACGTATACTTGCGTGTGTGTTTGGTCCCAATAGGGGCCCACATCTCGAAATCCGGTGAAAATTATGAAATATGAACGCCCATTCAACCACGAGTCTACCCATACCAAAATTATTAAATTCCGATAACAATTCGGCCCATAAATCCTCAAATTTATCCAAGAGGGTTTTCAAAATTTTCCAATTTAATTCACCAATAAAATGATAAAAACAGTGATGAATTCGGGTAATTTAACCAATATTGAGTTAAGAACACTTACCCCGTTATGTTCTCTGAAAATCTCCCAAAAATCGCCTCAATCCGACCTCCAAATCGATAAAAATGAAAAATGGGACGAAGTCCCATTTTCAGGACTTAAACTCTCTGCCCAGTGATTTCTTCTACGCGATCGCGAACATTCTCACGCGATCGCATAACACAAACTTTTGTTGTCCAAAAATAACCCTACGCGATCGTGAAAAATCCTACACGATCGCGAAGCACTGACTTTGCAAACCTACGCGATCGCGAAGAATTAAGCGCATGGCCGAGCTCCTCCCTCCGTTCCTCTTCGCGAACGCGGCCTTAGCCACGCGTTCGCATAGCACAACTCGCCCAACCTACGCGATCGTGAACGCTCCCACACGATCGCATAGAACAAATTTCCAGCTGCCCAATTCAGCCTACACGATCGTGAACCTTCTCACGCGATCGCGTAGATGGAAACGAGACACCAGATTTCAGCAAACTCCAAATCCAAAAATTGATCCGATAGCCGTCCGAAACTCACCCGAGTCCCTCGGGACCTCAACTAAAAATACCAACAAGTCCTAAAACATCATAAGAACTTAGTCTAAACCTCAAATCACATCAAACAACGCTAAAACCACGAATCATACTCCAATTCAAGCTTAATGAAACTTAAAATTTCCAACTTCTACATTCGATGCCGAAACCTATCAAATCAAGTCCGATTGACCTCAAATTTTGCACACAAGTCATAAATGACATAACAGAGCTATGAAAATTTTCGGAACTGGATTCCGACTTCGATATCAAAAAGTCAACTCCCTGGTCAAACTTCGAAACTTAAATTTCTATTTTAGCCATTTCAAACCTAATTTAACTACGGAGTTTCAAATAAAATTTCGAACACGCTCCAAAGTTCAAAATCACCATATAGAGCTGTTGGAATCATCAAAATTCTATTCCAGGGTTGTTTTCTAAAAAAGTTGATCGAAGTCAAACTTAGCATTTTAAGGCCAACTTAAGGAACCAAGTGTTCCGATTTCAACTCGGACACTTCCAAATCCCTAACCAACCATCCCCACGAGTCATAAATTAATAAAAGCACATAGAAGGAATTTTATTTAGGGGAAAAGGGTTCTAAAAGTCAAAATAACTGGTTGGGTCATTACATTCTTCACCTCTTAAACAAACGTTCGTCCTCGAATGGATTTAAAATTATACCTGGAGTGTTGAATAAGTGTGGATATCTGCTCTGCATGTCTTCCTCGACCTCCCAAGTTGCTTCCTCGACTGGTTGGCCCCTCCATTGGTCTTTTACTGCAGAAATCTTCTTGGACCTCAACTGGCGAACCTGTCTATCAACAATGGCAACTGGCTCCTCTTCATAACCCAAGCTTCTATCTAGCTGAACTGTACTTAAGTTTAATACATATGACAGGTCGGCATGATACTTCCGGAGCATAGATACATGAAAAATCGGATGGACTCCTGATAGATTGGGAGGCAAAGCATGCTCGTATGCAACCTCCCTAACTCATCTCAACACCTCAAATGGACCTATAAACCTTGGGCTCAACTTGCCCTTTTCCCAAATCTCATGATTGCCTTCACCGGCAAAACTTTCAAGAGAACAACTGAGGAAGCAGCTCACCACTAGGCCTCGGGATATCGAGGGTACGCGCCGGAAGGACCACCTGAAGTACCTATCTTAGATCCTGCAAAAAAAGTACAGCAAGTGCAGCATAAGTACGTAAATAACGTGTACCTAGTAAGTATCAAATCTAATCTCGAAGAAGTAGTGACGAGAGGTCGACTTGGACACTTACTATAGGTCAATAATATAAAGACAAAGATATTTAAATAAACATGGTTTATATGAATAACAATAATTTCTTTAACAAGCAGAAATAAATAATTCTTTCATAATTTAATAATTTCCAATAAATCGCTTATCTTCACATGTTGCAATAAAAATGTCAAAGCATCGTGTACTTGTTATTACTAAGCATGATTTATGCCGAGGTCGTACGA